CCCACGGGAGGGTTTTGTCCTTGATGGCACAATTGTCCATGATCATTTCTTTAAATAACAGCTTTATTGAGATATAATTCACATACCATAAAATCCACCCATTGAAACTGTACAGTGCAATGATTTTTAATATATTCACAGAGTTGTTCAACCATCACCACAATCCAATTCCAGAACATTTTTATCACTTCCCTGAAGAAGCCTTATCCCTCTTAGCAGCCACTTCCATCACTCCCCCAGCTCTCCAGCCCCTGGCACCCCCTAATCTACATTCTGTCTCTGGATTTGTAGCAGCTATCTGTGCATATCTAGTGCTGGGGTAGGTTTTTGAACCCTTGTGCCGAGTTTCAACACTTCTGAGGTCAAACTTGGTCACACACAAGATCGCGTGGGTGTTCAGAGCTTGCTCAATGTTTCTCTTTACTGAGTTGTTTTTACTCAAAACTTTGAAAAAGGAAATAATCTCAGGTAGTAGATTAACCAAAAGCTATAATTCCCACAGTGTCTCCACTCGTAAGGAAACTTCCACCTTCTTTAATAAAACTGAACCCTGACCTGCCAGGTAAATAGAGCTGTGTCTAGGTAGCTAGTATGGCTCTTGCAGGCTCAGAGAAGGAAGGGCCCCAATCAGACTTTGGTTTTACAAAGGTGGCTTTGTCTGGAGCATGTGGGGTGGGGGCGGAGAGCAAGGCTACTGAAGGCAGACCCTGTCTGCTTCATCCCAGCACCAGGCCTGAGCCTGGCTCGTGCAGGCACTCGGTCAATGAGGGGAGGAGGCAGGGAGCCAGGAGAGTGGGGGTGACAAATCCTCAAGAGGAAGATGTTTGGGGCAGGAAGGAGTGTCTCATAGTCACTCTTCAGAAACAGGATTGATCTCCCACCCAAAATTTGGTTTGGACTTGGAGACTGATGGCACCACACCCACCAAGAGGTTATGAAAAGATGCCTTACTCATATACTGAGGCTTTCTGGGGGTTGCAGGGCAGGTCCCCCAGTTGGTCAGAAAATGACCTGAGAGGGTATGGAGAGGAGACTGGCAGGGTTCTTTGTCACGGTTGGAGCTAGGGCAGGGGTGAGGGCTCCTGCGGGTGGTTTGAACTTCCCTCTGGTGCCAAGGAAGGGAGCACTCAGGCTTTCTCAACAGCTTGCCCAGATATGGGGCACAACGGGGACAGGGAGGATGAGGCTTCAAAGCTGTCAGCAGTCAGGCTTTAAAGCAAGGAGCAACTGGTGCTGCTGGGAGGAGGCGGCTCAGCAGTGGCACATGACCTTGGTAGGTGCTATGGTCTGAATGTGTCCTTCCTCCCGAACTCACATGGTGAAATCTGAATGCCCAAGGTGATAGTATTAGGGGGTGGGGCCACCTGATTAGGTCTTGAGGGCAGAGCCTCAGGAATGGAATCAGCGCCCTTATAAAAGAGACCCCAGAGAGCTAGTGTGCTGCTTCCACCGCGAGGGCACAGTGAGAACTTGGCTTTCTGCAAACCAGAAGAGGGCTCTTACGAGAGCCCAATCATGCTGGCACCCTGATCTTGGATTTCCAGCCTCCTGAAATTTGAGAAAGAGATGTCTGTTGTTTATCAGCCACCTAGTCTGTGGTATTTTGCTCCAGTAGCCTGAGTGGACTAAGATGAGGATGGTGTGGCAGGGGGACTGTCTCACCCAGCAGGGGCCGGATGCGGGGGGGCCGAGGGCAGAGCAGGCAGGAGGCTGTGGAGTCCAGGGACACACATGGCTTCAGAGTTGCGTAGTTGAGAAGGGTGGGAGAGCAGAGGGCAGTGGAGACGGGGAGGTGGACCCGGAGGAAGGTGGTTGGATTTGCCGATGGTAAGAGATTGGAAGTCAGAAGGTGTTTGTGGAGAGGGAGAGATGTGGGGAAGAGGGGGTGACAGTGGAGTGAGGTTCTCAGGTTGCAAGAAGATTCCAAGGACAAGTGACAGGACTGGACTTGGATGAGGCTGCTCTTCAACTGACCACCCCTAGGGCCAAGGCCACTGGGAAGGAGGTGGGCAGGCTGAGCACTTTGGAAATCATCCCCTGTCTTTGAAGAGCAGCCGGGCTTTCCAGTGGCCCTGCCTGGGCACAGCCTTCCCTCTGTACCCCGGATGCCCCTCCCCCTTCTCTGCCTCATCCTTTGAGCTTCAGCCTGAGCCCTGGCTCCCTCACTCACTCATTAGGTGATAGCGCCATTGTGAGGAGGAGGCTGTGGTTTACTCAAGGTAGAGGCGCACAGTGAAGGTTAGATAAGGAAGTGTTGGCAAATATCATAGAATCTTCTTCTGATACGATTGTCCGCCCCTCCTTTGTTGACCATCTTCTCTGTACAGGGTCTGAAGATAATCCCCGGGCAAGGTCAGGGGATGGTGGGGGTGGTGAGAGGGGGGACGCCACCTTTGGGAGGGGTGACAGATGACAGGGAAGGGAGGGCTCTGCAGTGGGTGTGGCTTGATGGTGGGAGAGGAAGCCCTGCCTAGAGGTTTGCTGGTTCCAACCAGTGGCTAGTGAATTATTCATTTGTCAACCACTGTGTCCAGGCTGCTTGCCAGGAGGGTGCCCTGTGACCCAGGGTTTTAAAAATTAATGTGTTCATTGAGTCATTCCCTTGACTCACATTCACAGGCACCTATTACTTGCTGAGCCCAGACTCTTCACGCCACAAAAGGCCCAGGGGGGAAGGAGGAATTCAAGCTGTGCTGTTTAACCGGCAAACACGGGATGGGGAGGCGACAGGCAGGCCACTGGGCCAGGGGCCAGAGGGAAAAGCGATACGATTTGGGTGTGTGCATGTGTGTGTGTGTGTGTGTGTGTGGGGGGGGAATGCCTGATGTATGTGTACATTTGCATGTGAGTGTGGAGAGGGGGGTGTGTGTGGTGTGCCCCTTTAGGCTGGTGCTCTGGGTGGTCTGGGTTTCAGCCTTGGGTGGGGGACAGACAGCAGAGTGCTCAAGGCATGACAGGTGTTAGCAGCACAGGGGCCTTGGGGCCCTGAGTCCCTCCACACACATGCACATAGGCCCACGTGCACAAGCACACATGTGCATGCGTACACACACACACACACACACACACACACACACACACACAGCTACTCAGCCCAGAGGGCCTGTGCCTTGCCTCAGACAGAGGTAGTTGGGGAGAGGGGTATGCGGCAGGAATCCCTTCACTGGGCAGAGCTTGTATGAAGACCCTTAGGTGGGAGACTGTAACTTCCAGGGAGTTGCTCAAGGGTGTTGCTATGAGTGGCCAAGTGGTGAGACCCAAGGCTGGTCAGTTGACAGGGTGACTCCATGAAAACTGGCATGTCAGGCTAAGGCCTCAGCTTTCTCCTGAGTTGAAGGGGTCCTGGAAGATGGTAGGCAGGGCAGAGCCCGTTCAGGCTTACATTTTAGGAAGCTCACTCTGGCTGGTGGCTGGTGTTGTGGGCCAGATGGTAGCCCCCTATGTTGTAATCCCTGGAAGCTGGGATTGGCAAGAGGGTCTTTGCAGATGTGATGAAGTGAAGGATCTCAAGTTGAGATCATCCTGGATTTCCTCAGTGGGCCCTAAATGCAGAGACAAGTAACAGGAGAGACACAGAGACACACGGAGGAGAAGGCCACGTGACAACGGAGGCAGAGACTGCAGTGACGTGGCCATGAGCCAAGGAACACCTGGGGCCACCAGCAGCTGGAAGAGGCAAGGAAGGATTGTATCCTAGAGCCTGCAGGGGGATAATGGCCCTGTCGACACCCTGAGCTCACACTTCCGGTCTCCAGAGCTGTGGGAGGATGAGTTCCTGTTGTTTCAAGTCCCTCACTTTGTGGTCATTTGTTACAGCAGGCACAGGAAACGACCACGGCTGGTGTGGAGAAAAGACTTTGTGGGGGGGGGGGGACTGGGTTGGGAGAGGGATGGGGGAGCTGAGGAAGGAGACAAGGCTGTCCCGGGTGGGTCAGGAGGTGGAGCCATCAGGATCGTCACCGGGGTCCAGTCACCCTGGAGGAAGAGCTTGGGAGCAGTGGCCTTTTCCTCTCAAAGTTCCCAAGTCTCTCAAATCATAGCAACTATCCGATGATACCAGAGTGACCCAGATGACGGGGTGCTTAGTTTGGGAGTCCCTCTGGTGCTCTATAGCCCTAAGCCTGACGCACGATATCCTGCTTATGGAAGGCACACGCGCAAAGCGTGAATTGGCATTGTGAGCTGGATATTCAACAACATTCCTTCGTTAAGCTCCTAATGTGTGGTCAGCCCGGGAAGGTGAGCAGAAGCCAGATCACCAGGGGATGCAGAGGAAAATCCCAGAGCCCAAACCCCGTAATGCGCTCATTCTTCGCACATTTCCTTCGGGGCTCATCTGCCTGTCTGGAGACTTTGGCAAAGCTGGATTCAGCTTTTACGAACACTGACACTGAGTCACATGATTTCTCTTGGTGGGAGTCGCTGACGTCTGAGAGAGAGCACAGGTGAGCGCCCCTCGCCCGGGGGCTGGCAGTCACCACCAGCTCTCCCAGTCCTAAACCACGCCGGGCCACCAGCCTGGAGCGACACCTTAGCGGACCGCAGGGACTTGCAGCTAAGATGCCTGGGGGTGCCCGTGACCTCGCGGCGCGCTCGCGAAGTAGCCCAGCTAGTTCCAGCCGCGGGGTACCGGGCTGGCGGCTCTCGGGGGCGGGCCATAAGCCTCCCAGGGACCTGGCGTCCGTTCTCAACCGCGAGGCAAACGGCGTTCAGGGGCAGGGCGGGTGCAGGCCAGCCACCACCTGGCCGAGTCGGCCTCTGCGCCTGCGCCTGCGCCTGCACCGGCGCCTGCGTGCAGCCGCGCGGTCAGCCTCTCTTCCCCCACTCCCGGGGCGGGGAGCTGGGAGGCGGGGCGGCGCGGACAGGGGCAGGGAGGGGGGCCGGCGGGGCGGGGCGGGGCGCGTGGCCGCGCCCGCCGCCAGGACCCCCGGAGCCGGTCGCCGCGCGCTGGGGCCCCTTCTCCTTCCGCCGGGGGGTCTGGGGCCGCGGGGCGGGGCCTCATGGAGGCCGTTGGCCCGGACACTTGTGGAGGAGGGGACGCGGCGCGGGGTGCAGAGGGGTGGCCGGCACCCGAGGCGAGGGTGCACTTCCGAGTGACGAGGTTCATCATGGAGGCAGGTAACCGCGGCTGGGGAAGAGGGCCGGCCTTACGGGAAGCCACTTCCCGGAGCAGGGCACGCGCAGGACGGGGAGCTGGCGCGCGGCTGGCCGGGGGGGGGGGGGGGAAGAGGCCCGGCGCAGGGGTACAGGCCTCTGCTTTCCGCCGCGCCCTGCGCGCTAGGCTTTGAGCTGCAAGGACACGGTCACTGCCACCTCGCGGACGGGCGCGCAGGCCCAAAGAGAGGACGTGGAAAGGGACTGGCCCGGGCGAGGAGGTGGTCGAATCCGAGCGCCCGCGGCTTGGTGGCCCGCCGCGCCTGCAGGCGTACCCGCCTCCCAGCGCACTTGGTCTCGCCGAGCCTTTTTCGGAGCCCGCAGTTGGTGAGGCTCGTGACGAGCCCTGTTGGCGAGGTCCCATCACACCGGGGACCCAGGCAGGGTGCAGCTCGCGTTCTGAAAACCCTGCCAGGGTGTCCACAGAGGTGTTGGGTGCCCCTGCTCCCAAGGCGAGACAATGAAGCGAATCGGGTTCCTGTAGAAACATTGTTTCTCTCTCTGGCAATAGTGTCTCACTCGGGCAGACGGTTACTTTCGATCTTTGTTACTTTGTACGCACTCGGTGGGAGCGGGGTCTGGGTGAGTCCGCTTTCAAGTCCAAGTCCGCGGTCTGGGGAAATGATGCAGGACCATTAAGCCCAGTGATTTGTACATTTAATTTCCAGGAAGAGTTGCACAAGGTATGAAGAAGGATGGCAGTGGCCTCCCATATGCTGCCATGCATCCGCTTGGAGGGTCCATGTAAACCAGGGCAGTGTGCTGCCCTTTGAGGATTTGCTGCATAAAACAGGGCTTGGAGGGTCATGTGCAGCTATACCGCCGTATTTGACATCTCTGGGAATGAGGAGTCCCATGTGGGAACTGCCTATGTAACTGAAGTTTAGACCTTGAAATGCTAAAAGCTCTTCCAGGTACCACTCTCCAAGGACTTCTTTATAAAATGTATTGCATATGCCTTGCTCCCCGCTGTGAGGCCAAACACTGGTCCTCCAAAGATGCCCCCGTCCTAATCCCCTGAACCTGCGACCCTGTGACTGTTACCTCACGTTGCAAAGGAGATTTTGCAGATGGGACTAAGCATCTTTTTTTTTTTTTTTTTTTTTAAGATTTTATTTGTTTATTTGACAGAGAGAGAGAGACACAGCGAGAGAGGGAACCCAAGCAGGGGGAGCGGGAGAGGGAGGAGCAGGCTTCCCGCCGAGCAGGGAGCCCGATGCGGGGCTCGATCCCAGGACCCCGGGATCGTGACCTGAGCCGAAGGCAGACACTTAGTGACTGAGCCACCCAGGCGCCCCAGGATTAAGCATCTTGATATTGGGGAGCTACCCTAGATTGTTCACTGGGCCCAGGATAATCACACCTGTCACATCCTTAAAGAGAGAGGCAGGCGTGACCGGCAGACTGGAAGGCCATGGAATGAGGGGAGCAGAGTTAGAAGATGCTTCCCCTGACTTTGACGAGGGAGGAAGGGGCCACAAGCCAAAGACTGCAGGCACCTCTAGAAGCTGGAAAGGGCAAGGAAACATTCTCCCCTGGAGGCTCCAGAAGGAACCCACCCTGCCCACACCTTGAATTTAGCCCCCTAAGACTCGTTTGGGACTTCTGACCACAAGGATTGTAAGAGAAACAGTGTGTGTTGTTTGAAGCCACTGAGTTTGTGGTAATTCGTTACAGCAGCCCCAGGGAACTAGAACACCTTAGGGAGAGGACACTGAATGTAATCTTAATGATTGACGGTTGTTCCCCACCTTCTTTCAGTCTGTTGGATGTCATTTAACCTTCTCTTGTTGACCCTGGTCATTGTGAATTTATATTGGTTCTGTTACCCAATGCAGTGATTTCCTTAGGAGCGTCCAGAGGTGGGGTGGGGCGCGGGCTTCACCCCCTAAATCAAACCACCACGTGCTCTGCTTTTCGAGTCCTCTTCCCTTCTCCGCGTGTCAGTCTTCCTCCCTGGTGCCTGTCGGTGGCCATAGGTGTTGCTTTTTTTTTTTTTTTTCTCTGCTTGCTTTTCTTGCCTTTTTCAACCTGCAGACAAGGAAACCAGGGCCGAGTATAATCTTTAGTTGTAACATTGGGACTCTGTGGTGTCTTTTTGATGCTCAGAGGCCTTTTTCCCCTGCTGTCATCTTGGCAGGATTTTTGTTAGGTGACCTGTGGGGGTGGGGGCAACCTTTAGTTAAATGCTTGTAAGGTAGAAACAGACACACAACAGTGTGTGGTCCTTTCTGGGATGTTGCGCAGAGGCTGACATGCCAGGTGCTCACTGAGGACTGGTCTGAAGCCTTGCTTCTCCTAGTGTGGTCTGCAGATCCGTAGCTTGGGTGTGACCAGGGGGGCTTGGTAGAAGTATATCTGCAGTGCTACTGAAGGGGATATTGCATTTGAGCACAACCCCCAGGGGCTTGTTAGCCCCACAGAATCTGAGAAGCCTGGCTCGAAACCTCTCAGGTTTCGAGGACCCAGTGAAAGACCCAGCAGCCACAGCCAGCTAGGCTCTAGGCTCTTGGTCTTGTCTGAGCAGGGGTGTATACCCTTAGGGCCCAACCCAGCAGCTCCACCCACGCTTTAGCAGAGGGTGAGCACTGGACTGAGCTACTCTTTTGCCTGCTCTCTCTTGGCAGGTGTCAAGCTAGGCATGCAGTCCATTCCCATTGCCACAGCTTGTACCATTTACCATAAGTTCTTCTATGAGATCAACCTGGACGCCTATGACCCCTACCTGGTCGCCATGTCTTCCCTTTATTTGGCCGGCAAAGTGGAGGAACAGCACCTGCGCACTCGTGACATCATCAACGTGTCCAACAGGTAATGGCATCCAGGCCCAGGCCTTTGGGAGGACTCACTGGTGTCCACCCAAATGGGAGGGCAGAGAAGGGTCCCACTGAGCCCTGACCGCCAGGTGACAGTGGTCAAGCTCAGAAGGAAGCACCGGGGTGGTCTTGAACCAGGGCAAGAAGCACTAGCAGCAAAGGCAGGAATGAGCCTGGTGTCGGAAACCCATGGGGTGAGTGGAAGAGAAGCTGGGGCCAGATTAAGGGAAGCCTCAAAGGCCCGAAGGAGTGTAAAGGAGCTGGGGTCATGGGGTGCTCTAGAAGATTAGTCTGGAGTTTTGGGCAGGCTGGATCGAACCAGTTGTGTTCTGTGGGACCTGTAGGACCTTCCCATGCAGGGGAGGGTGTGGACCCAGTTGGGCAATTATTTTATTAAGACGGTGTGGGAAACTGAGTCAGAATTGCTAACAAGCACCTCTTGCCCTGGTGTGGGCATGGTGCTCTGTGGGCAGCCCCCTTGGGCCCGAGCAGCTGTGTTCCTACTGGGAAGGATATGGGGGTCCAGCCAGCCAGGCTGCACTGAGACCCAGGGGGCCCAGGAGAAAGCAGTCTGTGGAAAGTTACTGACTAGCAGTATGGCGTAACCTTTCTAGAAACTAATCATTAAGAAAACTTGTTTTGTGCTGCTTCTCTTTTTAATAAACAGGTAACGGAAAAAGTGCTCCCTACCCCCTAAGCGTGACAGGGTCGCAGTGTACCGTGAAAGGCTGGGAGAAAAACTGGAGGGGGAACCAAGGGAGGGCCGCTAGAGTCCACCTGTAATTGCCAGGTCCCCAGCAGGGAGGACCGGTAGAGGGGAAATTGTGTGGACCACTAATCAGACGTGAGCACCCGGGTGGGGTTCTGTGGGGAAGTTGCAAAAGGAGTGAGGAACTAGGAAGGCTGAGTCATTGGCAGAGAATTTTGATCACTTGAGTGTGAATCCTGTTCTCTTACATCTTGGTGATCATGCGTAGGTGGGAGTGTTGTGGATATATATGGCGTAAATAAGGACAGAAGGATCTGGAACAAAGGAAAGACAATCTGGGAACGTAAAGCTGAAATGCGTTTATTCTTCTGCATATAGCATCCCCATGACATGTTTCAGTTCCTTCCTTGGACCCAGAGTAAGAGCCCTGGGCATTGCTGTCCCAGGTGGTAAAGCCTGTCCCTGATCCCAGGCTGACTGATCAGTTCAGTGTGTGCTAGAGCTTCCAGTCCTTCTGGAGCAATTGCAAGGAGCTCATCTTTACCCTTGACATCTTGCTGAGTTATCGATATGGGACAGCCCATCAGGGCTGAAACTAGAAGCCGGCTTCTTTTCTCTGTTAGTTACTGTTTTTATCCTATATCGTAGGCATGTAGATGAAGATGACTTATAAACACATCAGTAGAACTGGCCCTATCTAGTGGAAGAACACTGGAGTTTGTGTCTGGACACCAGGGGACTCGAGGGGCTCCCCAGAGACGCTTCCCTGGCTGCCACATAAGCATTGCTGTCTCTCCGTGCAGGTACTTTCACCCGGGCAGCGAACCACTGGAGCTGGACTCCCGCTTCTGGGCGCTCCGGGACAGTATAGTGCAGTGTGAGCTCCTCATGCTGAGAGTCCTGCGTTTCCAAGTCTCCTTCCAGCACCCACACAAGGTACCTGCTGGGGAATTGGCAACTGTTTCTAGAGGCATGAACCTTTTCGTTTTTTATCCTGAAAGTGCACCCACCGAACCCTCACAAACACGGAGTGTATGTGAGGAAGAGCAGAGCCACAGCTGGGCACTGGGGCTCCCGCCTGCACACCCTGACTGGCTTGTGTGGCACCCCCCTTGTCCCAACTCCCTGGGTTTTCTCAGGCAGTTCTGATTTCAGCTTCTGCCTTTCGGCCTGCCTGGCCAAGGCTGCAAGCTGGGGGATCCGTGTGACTCTGTGAAACCCTTGCCGATCCCGTGACCCACCTAGATTGTGTGCTCACGGCTCAGTGAGCCACAGGGAAGTAGGGCTGGCTTCACGATGCCCCAGAGTTCCTGTCCCCGAGAGTCGCGCTCTGCCTCAGAGCTCACATGCAGCTCAGCTGTGCTTTGAAACCCACAAGAAAATCTGAGTCACAAAGTTAAGTAGCACACTTTTAACTGCTAGGAACACGTAAGTCCCAATAGAACTGTTTCTGACGGCAGCAAAAGGGATGTGTGAAACCCTTCGAGCACTTGGATGTGATACTTTGGTGGCCCCAGTCCCCCATGTGGGCAGCTTGGAAGGGTGGCCTGCAGGGAAAGATGTGGGGCAGTGGGGGGTTGGGACAAGGGGGTTGGGACATGGGTTGTGAACAGGATTTCGTTTTTTTTTCTAATTGAAATTTGTATGAGGTAATTGTAGATGTACAAGCAGTTGGAGGGAATAACGCAGAGATCCTGTTTGAGATGGAGACTTTGCCCAGTCTCCCCGAATGGAAACATTTTGCAGAACACCAATCAGTGTAACAGCTGGGGTGACGCCACTGGCACAGCCCCTCCCCTGCCAGGGATTCTGGGGGTCGCTGGGATGTTACTTGCACAATTTTATCCCATATGCGCCTGCATATATCCACCACCACAGCTGAAATACAAAACAACTCCCATCCCCACAGGGGTCCTTATAATCTCACCCCACGTTTCCAAACTGCCTTTCTAATCCCGGAAACCTCTGGTAGCGATTTTAAAATAGTTGTGTTTCCGGTTGGTCGGTTGGTCGGTTGTTCGGTTGGTCGCACGATGCAGGGGAAGGCAGGAGCCGCCCTGGCTCTGTGTCTGAGGAAGAACAGCACCTGCCAAGGGGGCCGTCGGGTGGGGGAGTGGGGGTCAGCGTTGCCTTGAGCCTAGCGGCCTTCCCCTTATGTCGAGTTGGGATGGGGTCTGGGGCAGCCAATGAGTCCCCTGTTCCGTGGCATGCTGGAGTCGCAAGCATGTGTGTTCAAGCCTGTGGAGTGGGCTTATCAGTGTGTTTGTAGATCAGGCGGTTCGAGCAAAGCCGCTGTCTTCCCAGAGTGGGAGCCGACAGACAGTTGAGCTGAAAAGCCATTGAGAGTTTACAGCCAAGGGCAGCACTCCTGGAAAACACGGTCACCAGTCATAGTCCCTCTGAAAGCAGGCGTCCTGTCTCCGGGCAGCCCCTGGCCTCAGGCTGGGCACACGGGCACAGTGTTCTGTTTGGAATATAAGGACGCTGTTTCTGGAGCTTATGTTGAGTTGGGCAAGGGGATACGCAGAATGATTTCTGATGATGGCTAGAGCAGGGCCAGGTGATGAAGAGGGACTGTGGTAGGGGTGGCCATCGAGAGAGCCTCGGGCAGGGTCCAGGAGCTGGGCCAGGACTTGAGAGTGGGTGGGCACACGGACACTGGGCAGGGGCGGGGAGGAGGGGGAGACGATTTCAGGCAGAGGGAGCAGTGAGTGCCAAGGCCGGGAGGGAAGCGTGCTCGGCATGTTCAAACATGGTGGGAGGGCGGGGCAGGGCTTGGAGGCCAGTGGAAGGCACTGGGACTTTTTTCTAAGGGACACAGGGAGATGTTGGAGGGCCTGAACAGAGAGATGACTCGATCCAGTTTGTGTTTTATTCCTGTCGAGACAGCTTAGGGGGACAGTGGCTGGTGGGCGGTGGGGCGGGGGCACAGGGCCTCACAGTGAGGAGTCAGGTGTCTTGGGGGCCTGGAGCCCCAAAGGCCAATTGGCTGACTGGTGTGTCTTTGCAGTACCTGCTCCACTACCTGATTTCCCTCAAGAACTGGCTGAACCGTTACTGCTGGCAGCGGACCCCCATTTCCGTCACTGCCTGGGCCCTGCTGCGGGACAGCTACCATGGGGGGCTATGCCTCCGGTTCCGGGCTCAGCACATAGCCGTGGCAGTGCTCCACCTGGCCCTGCAGGCCTATGGGGTTGAGGTGCCCGCCGAGGCCGAGGCCGAGAAGCCATGGTGGCAGGTGAGGTGACTGCTCCGTATGCTGGTGTGTCCCCCTTTCCTTTGCCTGAGGACTCATCCATGTTTCTTTGTAGTAATTATCCATGAAGGAAGATATGGGCTACTTAGGAATATTGAAGCTTGAACATACCCTGTCATGATTGTCGAAGGCAGGGGCTCTCCCCCTTGGCACTGTGGACATTTGGGGCTCGATCATTCTCTGTGGCAACGCCATCCTGTGCTCCCCTGTAGACGCCCCAGTCATGACAATCAAGAAATGTCTCCAGACATTCCCCAGTGTCCCAGGGTGGGGATCACCCCCAGTTGAGAGTCACTTTGTTCAGCCAAGCACTTTTATTGAATTGAGCGGGAGCTTGCTATAGATCGGAAGCTAATAAACTTGGATTCACATCAGAAGAAGTATAGGGAGTCCTCTAAAAAGATGGATTGATAATGGACAGGCAGATAGATGATAGATAGGTCAATAGATGACAGATGGGTAGAGGGGTGGACAGACAGATGGATGACACGAGGTGGACGGGTGGGTGGATGGCTAGATGGCAGATAATGAGGCTGATGGTTGAAAGATTCGCCGGCCTCCCCCCGGCCTGCTGAATCCACAGCACGGTTTGTAGAGTGCGAGGCTGGGGGAAGGGCTGCCCTCGAGGACTTCCACAGTCCTATCGATTTTCCCTGAGTAGTCCCCGCTGTTTCTCACAATGGAATTTTGAAATCACTTCTGGTTTTCCCTCTCCCATCCTAGACCTGAGTCTAGTTTGCCGTTCCTTTCGTATAACACGTTGTCTGGCCTTGCCCCGGAGGAGGGTACCTGAAGGTTTCTCCTCCTTGCGTACCCCTCCCTCCCCAGCAAACTGCCAGTGGCCAGAAGTCTTCTAAAACGTGTCCTCTGTTACGTGAACAGACGGTGCCCCCTGGGTGCCCCCCGGGTCTGCTCCTGGCTCCGCCTCCCCTCCTGCAGCTCTTGGCTCCCGTGGCACCCCTCCGCCCCCTGCTGTCCCTCTGTGGAGACCCGGCTTCCCCTGCTTGCCTCTTGTCCTCTTGCCCTTTATCGTCAGATCCCTCCAGCCAACCAGATAGCAAGTGCCGGGAGGTCGGGGATCTTGTCTGCTCCCTCCCCTGCCCTAGGTCCAGCGCCTAGATCTGGCCCCTAGTCGGTGCTCATGCATCTTCGAGCAGACATATCTGTGGCCCTGGTCTCCGGTGAGATGCACCTCCTCTGGCAGCATGGGGCTGAAAGGGATCTGCACAGACAGAAAGTACTGCTCCGTGCTGGGTCTTCTCAGGGATTTCCAGGTCATGTGACCATAGCGTCCCTGCTCTGTTGGACCCGGGTGGTAGCGGAAGGGGCTGCCACTTACCGGCCCTGCTCCCCGAGGGCATGTGGGCATGGCAGCCCCTGTCTCTTGGCTGCTTGGGTCTGTGATGTCATCACTTGTTTCCCATTGTCTGGCTCTCCTCTCTGTGTGTCTTCCTTTCTGCTCTCCTTTCTTTTCACCTGCTCCTGAACTTCCCCGGGCACCACCTTACTGCCTCGGCCTCCCAGTGCCAGCCCTCAGCCAGCCCTGTGCTTACCCAGTGATTGTTAAGACTGGGAGGAGTGGGGTGGCAAACTCCTGTTCACTCAGCTCTGCACCTTTTCTGGGTGGCTCCGGGCCACATGCACCAGGAGCATCCAGAATCTGGGGGCCTTTTGGCCTTGTGACGTGCAAGGACCAGTTGCCTTATGATAAATGGCTCTAGACG